GGCGCTGAAGTAGTAAACTGGAGTTAACTAGCCAGCTTGAAGTTATTGTGAAGTTATTGTCGATCAGGATACTTAACTGCAAATATTCGTTATGACGTCGACACGTCATACTTTCAGTTAAATGAGGGAAACCAAAGATAAGTTGAGAGTATAGCGTCATGTGGGGAGCTTTTTCATTCCTCTTATTGTTGTGAAACACTGGAATGTGAATTATGAGTTGCTTGTTCTTTTTGGGGGTTTTTATTTGGTTTGGTAATATCAAGTAGAGGAGTGTGTAAGGTTGCTTGCAGTCTTTGCTGGGAACTTTTTGAAGTAGTGAAAGGAGAAGGGAATAAAGAGGGGGGGGGGAGGAGATATAGGGATGTGTGTGCTGTCACTGCTGTTATTATTTGAAAGTATGAAGGGGATGGGTGTTGATGGAAGACTCAATCAGCTGCAAATGCTTGATCATATATTGTGAAATTTCTGATGATGTAAAAAGTTGTTACTGGATGCTTTGTTGTTGATGTTAATGCCTCGGTGTGTTGAGGAAAAGAGTACTCTGAATATTGCACAAGGGGTTCTACAAGTTCTGTTTCAGGACGGTTGATAGTATTTATTCGATCATACACACGTGCTCAGATGTTTTCACTACCATTACAGATGTATACTGAAATCATGCAAATGTAACATGGAAGCGTATTCTAACCTCTGGAAGCGTATTGTCCAATCATTAATCATTCATGAGAGCTTCCTGTATATGTAAATTTTGTTTTCAGCTGTTTTCAAGAACTGAACTACTTTTTTTTGACTCAGGTATATACTTTTATAGATCGACATACATACACACCTGTTGTGCAACCATCACAACAAATTGATAATAATAGTGTTAAGTGAATAGATGCTTCAGTGTGTGTATACTTTGTGTGTGTGTGTGTGTGTGTGAGAGAGAGAGAGAGAGAGAAAGAGAGAGAGAATAATAAATAGCGTGTTTGAAAGAGAAGAAATAGTATGAATCCTTGGTGAGTTATTGTAGAGTACAGTGTTAAGAATTTAGTGTTCATTGAATAGATGCCAATTGACTAACCCATTACGTAGTAAAAAAGCTGTACTGTTGCTTGCTTCTTCAATACCCAGGTGCGTTAGCTTTAGCTTTTGGCCTGAGTGAGGACTGTAAACTGTTTTATGCCACCATCTGTAGTAGAAGTGTATTACACCACATATCAGCGTGCGATAGGGTGAACTGTGGAAAGGTTTACAAGGTAGGGGTTTGTCTCATGATACTGTAGATGTTCTATATATCTATATATATATACATACATTTACTCTGAATGTGATGGGGGGATCTGAAGTAGCTTCTGCAGTACTTTCAATTTTAAGAATTCCTCGCTAACAAGTTTTGTGTCAGTTAATGAAGTAGAGGATCACAAAAAGCAAAAAGAATCAGAATGTAAGATACAAATCTGAACTTGAGCATTTTCCAGGTTTTGCAAATGTGGGTGAATAGAGGAAGCTGTTAAGATATTGTAGAGATACAGAAGAAATTGTCTAAGTTGGCGACCAATTGTGGTGGAGAAAAGTGATTGTCTTGGACAGATAAACATCTTGGACAGTGTCATTATAATATAAAAATCGAAGGGAGGAAGTAGGAAATTGTCATTTTTACAGGTGATGGGCTTTCACAGGTTAAGATTTGAGCAGATTTTGACTGTATACTGCAGGTAGCCTACCTGTAGTGGTAAGACTAGAAGAAGCAATTAGGTTTTTTTTCTAAATTCCCTGCATTTTTTTGGCAGATTACTAGCAAGATTGTAACACCCCCCTCCCCCAATAAATGACCTGCTTCTGTCTAGTAGTGTTTCTTTCGCAACTACAAAAAATAAGTTAGTGTGAAAAGCACTGGCTCCATGAAGTTCAGAGTTCATACCTCGGGATGTGTTGTACCCAAGGGTCACTCTTTTGAGGGCAGAGTTTGTTCAGTGTCCGAATACTGCCTTTTAAGTTAATTTAGTAATATTTAACAGGAAGGGCTCTTGCACACTAAAGAAACTTTAAAGGAATATCCTGTCCTTGACTCATCAGAATGAATATTCGCCGTTTAGATTATTTCAGTTTTATTTAAATACTTGCAGGACTGTCTTTCTTTCCCTGTTGGTATTGTTCTTTCCCCTACATGTGTCACAATATATTATAATACGAGGTCACCAGCATCGTGTAGAGCTACAGAACGTGGGAAGGGACTGTGGGCTGAGAGTTATATGTACATGTGGTGCCAGTGGGGGGAAAGCTCAGCAGGTTGTGAAATTGGAAATATCAGCACTATATATTATCTATATCTATATATCTCTGAGAGATCTGACTTTGTGATTTTGTTCCATTTGATGATACTAAAAGTGTATATTTGATCACTGGGCCTGGACTTGAGGATGGTAGACTGTTTGATGAAGTGATTGTGGAATTGTGTGTATTGAATCTCAAGAGATTGGTGTGGCTGTATGTTGGATATTCCCTCACACAATATGTAGGACCCTTTTTCGAGCCAAAATTTCTCCTATATTGGGACCCGTACTGTAGAAATTTAGTAAATAATGGTGACTCTCCTGTGAGTGGAAAGAGAGGGAAACTTTTTTTTTTCAGTATGTAGAATTATCTGAGTTCCTGGTACTTTATTCCTCTTCATTAATTTCTGATTTTGCCATCATTTCTTTTGTTATTTGGGCAAAGTTAAAATCTTCTTTAAAAAAAAGAACCAGCTCAGGTCGGTTATTTTTCTGTGGAAAATTTGATTTGTTACAAAACTGTGGTATAGAATTGTGATTGTTCACCGGTTCATCCATGATGCCACACATCATAAAAACTTTGTAAGAAATTGGGTAATGTGTGAGATGCAAAGTTCATGTAAGGAGCCTTTGTTTTTTTCCGAACCACTGTGTACCTCTTGTAGGTCACAAGCTGAGCTTAGCCTGCTCTGAAATGTTCTGCTCTTGTGAATATGCAGCGTTTTCACTTCTAGGCTTGTATGACTGATTGTGTTTGTTGTGCAAGGCTGTCAGAAACATCACTCTCTTCTCTGATGATGTACTATTGTTGGGAATGTCTGCGAGATGAAAGTTGAACACATCTCACTCAGAATCTCCTTGTTTGTATTGTCTTTGAAATGAGCACGTACTTGAAAACCCTGCATCAGTTCATTGCCTACTTTTGGAGAGAATTCTGTATTGGTCCCTATCCGACTGCTTGATGTTGGTGATTGTGAGGTGTGAAGTTGTGGTCAAGTCTCTTTCTCTCCCAAACTACTGTGCTCGCTCTGCCTGTGAACCTGTAAGCCATACACATTCATATTCTGTACAGTGTGAAAATGATAAGTTTTTGATAATTTTTATATATTTGTTGAGTACTACAGTAATCATGTTGCTTCTTCTGTTTGCTGAATGTGCTGGCAGTAACGCTTTGAACAAAAGACAAGGTTGTATGTCATGTCCTGTGTTTGAGATGCTTTGAGATCTGTTGTTGCTTGCAGTTGCGGACTTTGTGATTTATGGTATTGTGTAAAAATAAATAAATATCTAGGTTGCTTTTTTGAAGCAGTAAACAGAGATGTATGTATCATATTGAAACTAATTTATGCTTGCTGGCTCACTAGTTAGATTGCTGAACTGCAACTATGATGTGTATGCCTTTTTATGTACTCGGAGTACCTGTATTTATATTTTTTTCCCCTTTTTTTTTTCAGTTTCCCTGTGCTCTGTGACGTTGTCAAAACTACCAATTATTATTTTCAAGGATATACTATAAATAATTATTTAAGGGCTAATTTTATTATAGAGCTGTCTATATAGATATTATGTGCGCATTTGATCACTTCATTCCTATTTCTTGTTGTAAACATAAATTTACGCACTTTTTTGGTCAATGTACTAATTAAACATTCATTTGTTTTTGTCAGATTCATTGCATTTTTTGTTGGTGTTATTCACCCTCATTTTTATCATCAAAATAAAAGATGGAATACAATATGTAATTGAGAGTTTGAATTCAAGTTTTTGCTGTTTTGTTTTTTTTAATAGGCATTTTGAAACAGGTTAGGCTAGGGAGACTGCAGCTGTACACTGTGCTGAATCTGTTATATAGCTTGATGAATTTATTTTTGTTGTTGGCGGGTGCTCTGGTTTGGTCTGCTTCTTCTTTCCTATCTAACATCTATCGTCCTTATCTCCCCTTCTTCTTTTTTATGTTTGTTACTCTCTTGTAAGGCTTCTAATCTTCTGTGAGTGTTTGGTGGGTGCTCTGGTGTGGTTTGCTTTTTCTTTCCTATCAAACATCTGTCGTCCTTATCTCCCCTTCTTCTTTTTTATGTTTGTTACTCTCTTGTAACACCTAATCTTCTGGCACTCATATGAACTTATGCAATTGCGAGCGCCGTAAAACCTCTACTAAAACTTTTAAAAACTTTTTGTTGTTGTTTCTCATTTTAAAGTTACACAAAGAATACTTGTGGGTTTTGAGGGCACTGCTAGTAGTTTCTGCTTCTGTTCTTTCCCTCTGATGTTTTTGTCTGTCTTACTCTGTTTTTTCTTTCCTATCAAATATCTATTGTCCTTATTTCCCCTTCTTCTTTTTTATTTTTGTTTCTCTCTTGTAATACCTCTAATCTTCTGGCGCTCATATAACCTTATGCAGTTGCGAGCGCCGTAAAAAACCTCTACTAAAACAAACACTTTTTCCCTTCACTATATGACTGTTCTAATTGTGACAATGTGCTTCTCTTTACTCTAACAAACAAGGAATTCTTTATTCACTGTTTGTGGGTTCTGTGCTGTAGTGTATTTTGCCCCTGCTACTGTCCAATGTTTAAAAAACCTCTGTG